GGCCACCAGAGCGATATATGCGATGTTTTCAAAAAATTGTTTTAGAAAAATGGATGCTCTATCCCCTTTAAAAACTGGATTTTTGGACTTCTCAAATGATGTAGTTCCTCTTAAAAATGGGTCATTTTGGAGGGTCAGTTGTCCTTTAACATTTATTTATTTTTTTAGTGAAAGAAAGAATGTTTCATATACGTAAAAGTAAGATTGACCTGCTTGGATGAGTGACATGATTAATCTGTATTGTTGAAACTTGTATGTGTTTATCGTACGTTAGGTAGCAGTCAGGATGCGCGACTGACGTCACAGTACTTTATACTTATACCCCTGTCCAATCATGACGAAGTTTTTATAAATCAATCTTTCTTGAATACTCCTCATCGATTAAATCTTATATTTCATATATCCCTTCCTTAAAATCCTAAAGACTGTGTAAGAAAAACAGGAAAAATATAATTTGCTGAAGTTGAATTTGTGTACGATGTGACGTCATGGACGTCACGTGTTGAAAAAATAGTTAATGCTTTCTGAATTTGCATCGAAAAACACTTTGCGCTTGACGTAAATGAAATCGCAACAAGCTTTCAAATAATTTAAAACAAACTGCTGAACCTCACAAACTTCTTGATATTAGAAATTCCCCTTGCAGCTTCCCCGGCAGCTTCTTCGTGCTAAAAAGGAATGTGTAACTGGGTGCTAATCTGTCGCTTGGAGACTGGGCAAAGAATTCGTGTTGCTTCCTTTCAGCATTTCTGTTGTTTGTTTCTCTTTATTCGTTTGTTTTTTTCCGGAAGACACCCAGACCTGAAAGAGACCTGATAGAGACCTGAAGGAGACCTGAAAGAGACCGGAAAGAGACCTGAAAGAGACCTGATAGAGACCTGAAAGAGATCTGATAGAGACCTAAAAGAGACCTGCCCCGCGCACGGTGGCGGTGAGTGTGCACGGACCCTCATTGTACCACAGGGATACCATCGCATCGTAAAATTTTGAGAGTTTTATAAACTTCAAAATGGCGGTCGTAGTTGGAACGTGGTCATTTAGTAAAAGAGCTTTAGAAGTTATTGCCGAGGAGTTGACCAATGGACAATCTTATATAGATGGCTTAGAAAAGGGAATTAATGGTAGGTCGTTATTCTTTCTTTCAAACTAATACCAACTTGTTTTATGGAACCCTAAAACGACCTCTGGACGGGCTTTGGACTGTGAAAATTGGAATTCAAAATTTTTCTTGCTGGAAACTTGAAAATTTAAACCCAAAGATTCCGTGGTAAGATGCGAATGTATTACTGGAACACGGTCTTTAATTCTCCCTGGTACTTACATGTATACACAATTTTTAAAACTAGCCGTGGAGGATGATCCAAAGACTGGGCCATATTTAGTAGGGCGTGGTGGATATCCCAATTCTTCTGGGATACTAGAATGCGATGCTGGCATCGTGGTTGGAGAAGGATGTCAGTTTGGAGCCGTTGCTGGGTTACAAGGGTAAGTTCTAATCCCTCCTGTCTACTCTTCTCTTTTCTTCTCCTCTCCTCTCTTCTCCTCTCCTCTCCTCTCTTCTCCTCTCCTCTCCTCTCCTCTCCGCTCCTCTAACATTTATTGATAAACTTTCTTTAAAATACTTTAATCATCTTTTATGTTTACCTGATAATTCTCTATCAAAACAAGCTTTACTTATTTCCCAGTCTTTACATGCAGAAAATAAATCTTGCTATTACAGTATGTAAACCTTTTACAAATGTTATCTTTTTATAACATAGAAAATGAACTTACAGATGTCATCTCTAATTCTAATTTGGAGAAG